TGCCCGTGTGCGTCTGCGGGCGACGCCCCGGCTCCAGGGGAAGCCGGTGGCCGCGCGGACCCTCACCTGCCAGGGCGCGTGCGCGCGGCCGTCGGCGCGCCGCGGGGACGCGGTCTGATTCGCTTATCCGTTCTAACGTAGAAGTGCCCCGGAGGAGACCCCGCCATGGAAGGCAAACCTCTGCTGATGTCCCGACAGAGGACGGAAGTGGTGTGCGGGGTCCCCACCCAGGTGGTGTGCACGGCCTTCAGCAGTCACATCCTGGTGCTGGTGACCCAGTTCGGGAAGATGGGCACCCTGGTCTCCCTGGAACCCAGCGACGTGGCCGGTGACATCGGCAAGCCGGTGCTCACCACTAGAGTCCTTCTGGGGCAGGACGAGGTATAGTGGCCGGGAAGGGGTCCCCACGCTGGGCGGGGGAGCGGGAACCGCGTCTGTGGCTCCGTTTTGTCAGTAGGCAAGCCCCCCTTGCCCCCCTTCCCCCAGCAGCGACAGCCTTTCCTGGTGCCCGTGCTTGGTGGCTGCCTTTCCCAGCCCGTCGGGACTTTATCCAGCAGACAAGCAGAGACACTGATTTTGTAGTGCGGGTGCCTCGCCTTCCTCTTGACCCTGTCACCGCGGCCTGGAGGAGCGAGTGGCTGTCCCTGTTCGGTCTGAAAGATGGCCTGGCAGATTGGACAGGCCCGGCAGACTCGTCTTTTGGGAGTCCTAGATTAGAGACAGCCAGCAGGGACCCGGGCATCAGAAGGCACCGAGAAAATAAGTATAATGGTGCATGTTTAGCATTTTGTGTAGGACCGGAATGTTCTGGAGCCTCCTTGAACCCTGAACTGCTGCCGCATCACACTTACCGGGTGGGGGTCCGAGGCTGGTGCAGAAGCCAGGTGGGTTCCTACCGGAAAAGAGACTCGCGGTTCAGATGATTTCTGTCGTTCCTTCACCAGCCTCTCATCCACGTCTTTGCAAAGAACCTGGTGACGTTTGTGTCTCAAGAAGCGGGAAACAGAGCGGTGCTCCTGGCCATGGCCATGAAGGACAGGAGTGTGGAGGGGCTGAAGGCCTTGAAGGAGGTGATCCAGGCCTGCCAGGTGTGGTGACCACGCCTGCTCCTCGGCGCGGCCAAAGGGAGACCCCAACACGCTCTCGATTCGGAGGCCCTCCCCTGGCCGGTCCGCAGGAGGAACTGTCTGGCCTGGGTCCCCGGAGCCGGAAGAAATACGCACACCTCAGGCGGACTCTTGGTTGGTTGGGTCGCTGAGTTACCCACGGTCCGGTGGGAGCACAGCCGTGCAACGTGTCTTGGGGGGCTTGTGAATGGTTCTCAGCAGGGTCCGGGTAGTGGCATTTATTTGAGAGGCGAAAGAGGAGTCATCAGGTAAGAGTCCTGGTCCTCCACACGCGGGGGCAACTGTTGGAGGACGGCTGTTTCTAATAAAAATAAACGCGTACCCTAAGTGACTTCACCATCCTTCTTAGCAGGACTGAGAAGTTTCAGTCACATGGCGGGAGTTCGGTTCCGGGTGCGTCCGGCGGGAGGAAGCCTCGTTCGGCAGGAAACAGTGTACTTCACGCTCTGCACACGCTCACCCCACTCCTCTTCCTCTGACTTCGCCGAGCGCGTTCGCGTTGCTGGGCAGCCGTTAACTTCCCTTCCGCGAACACTCCCCACGGTCCTGCTGGGCGGCGGTCGCTGCGAGGGTGTGGGGCACAGACCCCAGCCTCAGGAGCCGGGGAGCTGTTCATGTCGCCACGCGGGCCTGGGGCCAGCCACGGTAGGGCCGTGGGCCCGCTGAGTGCCCAGGGAGGGAATCCTGAATGCTGGGGGAAGGGCGCGCAAAGGCCAGGAAACAGAAGTCCAGCGTGGGACGGCACAGCTGAGCCCGGGCCTCAGGGCGTTGGGGCTGGCAAAGCCCGAGGGTGGGGAGGGGGCCGATGGCAGGGGCCTCCTGCTGAATGCTGAGGCCTCTGAGGCCTCGGGGCTTGAGTCAGGCGGGTTTGCCTTTTGGAAATCATCCCAGGAAACACCTCCACAGGCGGGTGGAGCTACAGAGTGGGGCCTTTGTGCGGCTGGGCCTCTGGGAGGGCAGCCTGGGACCCGCGGGGCTCCCCTCGTCCCCCTCCGGCCGCAAGGGCACGTCACTGGCCACACCAGAAGCTGGCAGGCTAGATGTTCTGCCATGTGAGTCTGTCCCACAAGCTAGAAACCCGCGGGAGAGCGAGCGGGGGCTCAGGATCTGCAGGCAGAAACCAGCGGGGATCCCCGTGCGCCCAGGATGGCCTTCTGGGGTGGGGGGGGCGGTTCTGAAACAGAGAGTCTTAACCTGAGAAACCCTCCAGGGCGGGCAGTGGAAAGACGGGGCCGAAGCCTCCGGACCAGCGTGAGTTTGCCGAGGGTGGGGCAGAGGGAAACCTCGAGGGCTCTTTCCCTCGGCAGACGCTGCCCGTGCAGGGCACAGACTGGCCGAGGGAATCCGACCAGACTTCCTGGAGGCGGCACCGACTCCTAAGCGGGGAAGGCGCTTCACTCACCTGCTGCTACGGGGAGCCTGAGCGACCAAGGTCCCGCCGCCCCCTCCTGGTGCCTGCACCTGTCAGGGACATGGGGGGGAACTGAGGCAGGCCCATCCCTGGGAGACACGGGACTCCTTTGTGGCCGGCTTCGCCCCCCCTCCTGGTCTCGGGCAGCCATGTCCCCAGCCTGACCGCTCCCACCCTTCCTGCTTTCACACTGGCCTTCCCCGGTAAGATCCTGCACACCAAACCGCACTTGGTGGGCCGCTTGCGGGACCGGGACCAGCACAGGTTCTAAGGACACAGGAGCCGACCGGAGAAGGGAAGGGATCTCCACACATACGAGGACCCCCAAGGTGACTCGTGTGTCCTGACGGGTGGGCAGTAATGTCATGGCCAGAGCGAGGAAGCCCGGTGGGCAGGCACGGGAGACCTTAGGTGGGAGGGGAGGAGCCGGCCCCCGGAGAGGCAGCCCCCCCAGAGCAGGAGCAGAGGCCTGGTGTCCTCAGGTCAACACTTCGGACCAGCGTCTGCCCTGTGAAGTCATGACTTCTCCCGTGTAACAAGCAGGGGACCTGAGGCTTGGGTAGGGTCCCGTCTGAGCCTGGGTTTCGGATCCGCAGCCTCTGGCTTTCTGTTTGGTCCCTAAATGCACAGCAACAGGACTCACACACGTGCTGCTTGGCACCGTGGCCAGGCTCTGGGGCCCACCCTTCTCAGCCCTCACTCAGACTGGAGGGAGGTCGCCACCCTGGTCACCCCCGTGTGCCAGAGGGGGAAACCGAGGTGAAGTCACGTGGCTGCCCTGAGAAGAGGCCGGGGCGTGCTGGCGGACGCGGGCTGAGGACACAGGGCGGTGCCGGCCCTCGGCCGCCCACCTGGACGGTGGACATGTAATGGAAACCAGGCCCCCAGCACCTTCCTCAAGTCATCGACAGCGGCCCGAAGCTCGTAAAACACAGACCGACACTCGAGGCTCCCGGCCTGGAAGCCGCCCTGCCGTGCAAATGCAGGCACGTGACTCTGCCCTTTGCCGCGGCCGGGCCCTCCCGGCTGCGACGATTCTGGGGGAGAGGGACGCACTCGACAGAGACCGCGAAGCCTCGGTTTCCGCAGGCGGGGCTGTGTGCTCCCCGGACGTGGACGCGGGTGGCGCTTACCCAGCAGTCAGACTGCAGTTCGGCCTTGCAGTGATTTGTGGCCCAGCGTGAATCATGATCTTCGTTTCGGGCCAGTTTGCCAGCCCCTGCAGCCCAGACTGCCAGACGAGGCTCCTTTGTCAAGGCCGTGCCCTTGGTCGACAGGGCGCGATCTGGCCGGCCCAGCGCCACTGAGCTGCACGTGGAGACCCCCAGGCCCCTCCCTCGCACGCCCCCCCTGTTCCTTAGAGGATGTGGGGGCATGGTTCCAGCTCTGAGCCAAGGGCCGGCAGGTGCCCTTGGGGGTCAAGAGAAGCCAGGGAGGGTGGCCGCTGTCTGCTGTCACCCCGAGCTGCTTATCCAGGGCTTTGACAGAGCCCCGGTCCCCCCTAAACCAGGTAGGACAACTAACCGGGGGCATCAGACGCTGCTCGCGGGACCGGCTCTTCCGTTAACGCCCTGCAGTGAAGTTGGAAACCAGGATGAGTGAAATCCGAGGGCCCTGAGTGCCCAGAGGACGACGGCAGGGAGGCGCTCTGCGCCGCGGTCTGCTAGTGCACGTCCCAACAGGAAGCACGCAGACGTGGTCGCGGGGAGTGAGGACTGGCTCGTGGGAATCGAGGACGCATCAATCCCTGAGGTCTGTGACAGGATGGGAGGCCCCGAAGCCCCCGGGACGGGGTGCGGGGGGGGGGCTTTCGGGAGGAAGCCCACGTCTGGGGACATTTTGATGGGGACCGTGTCTCCGTGGGCCCCAGGAAGCCCAGGCCAGAGGCCAGAGAGCCGGTGGCCGATAGTCTTAGGGGTCCACGTCTCTGGAGGAGGCGCGCTGCGACCTCTGCGCTGGGCTGCTCAGGGACAGGAGCCCATCTGTTGTGAAGGCAGGTGGGGACCCCGCGGGCCACCTCGATTCCTGGGCCTTGCGATCTGTCGGGCCAAAGTAGGGAGGCAGCTGGAAGGAGGGGAGGGGGAGAGACACTGAGAGAAACAGAGGTCTCCGAGAAACCACAGGAAGTCCCAGGCTGCGCCGGCTCACGGGCTGTGCAGGCCCCACGCTCAACCTGCACACGACCTAGGAACACACGGACCCCTGATCCCCCTTCGCAGCCGGGAAGACCAAGGCTCAGGGCTGTGCAGGTGAAGCCAGTGGGACTGGGGCCACGGCATCGCCCCATTTAACCCTCGCTGCACCAGAGGAGGTGGGCGTCAGACTCCCGCCCACACAGACTAGCGATGCAGCCACGGGGGTCAGTGGTCCTGACGAGATCCACACCCAGATGGCAGGGACCCTGAGGCCAGCTTGTGGCCCCCGCTGGACGGTGGCAGGGCAGGGCAGAGGGTGTGGCCCCGGGCGGCATCCCAGCAGGCAGGGCCGGTCCGGCAAGGTGGGCAGGCAGCAAGGAGGAATTTTCTGGGTCCAGGGAAAGGCCAGGACTTCCCCAGAAGCAACAGCGTCTCAGACCGACCCTGGCTGCCGTGAGGAGGAACCGCGGAGGTCCGGAGGCCTCACCGTGGGGCTGGACATCCCGGCCACCCCTCCCCGGCCTGGGGCCCCGCCGCCAAGCTGCTCGAGGGGTCCGGCCGGACAGCCGAAGGAGCCGCCATGGAGGTGAGCTGTGGGCCCCAGTTCACGGGAGGGGTGAGGGGTCCAGGCCGGGGTCCCATTCACTCCAGTGGGGCAGGGGCTCTCAGAGAAAAACGCCCACACCTTGAAATTCTGGGAGTCCCAGCGTCTGTGCCCCACGCCTCCTCTCAAGAGGACAGGGCCTGGGCAGGCCCCAGGATGCCACCTCGTAGCCAGAAAGGGTCCTCAGGTCAGCACCCCACCCCAGCCCCGCATAGAGACGGAGGAGGGCCTCCAGGTACACACCCAGGACAGCCAGCTACCTCTGGGGCAACAGGCAGGTACAGGCAGGCCCTGGGCACACATAGCTTCTCTCTGGGGACGGAGGTGGCACAGAGGAGGGGGCCGCCCGGGAATGCGCAGGAAGGACGGGGGAGCCCCAGAGGAAGGGAGGGAGGCCCCCAGATCCCACGCTGGGGTCCCCCGGGGCTGATTGGCCCAGATGACGAGAGAAGCCTACGGCAGGCGACCTGGCTGGCAGGACAGCAGGACTGAGACGGCCGTCTTGGACTGTCTTGGGCTCCAGCGGCCTGTGGCCACCTCCAAGAGAAACAGGAGGCAGGGAGCCCGGGGCACGCGGGGGCTCCAAACACGGAGGGAACCGAGGTTCAGAGAGAACCAGGGTCTGCCCAAGGTCACGGACACAGAGAGCGGCGCATCAGGGTCCCACTCGGTGCGTCTGACCCAGGGCCCTGGCCCAGGTCAGGAGCCGGCGTCCCGGAGCCTCCCTGCTCACCCAAGCGTGTAAGGGGGCCCGGAATGAGAGCTGGAAGGACCCGCCGCCCCCATCCCCCCGGGGCCCAGAGGGAGGGAGAAGCGGCTCGGGGCCCCGGCTAGTAGGTCCCTTCCGCAGCCAAAGCGATAGGGCCACAGAGGCCCCGCCACTGCCCCACTTCTCCCAGCTCCCACACGAGTGGCACAAAGGCCTGGGCCCCCAGGACCCTTGGCTACCAGTGGCCCCAGTCCAGTCACCCCAGGCCCCAGGCCACGGTGGGTATTAGTTGAGTCAACAGCCGCGTGGGCTGTAAGAAAAGCTCGTGGCAAACCCTGTCTGCCACTCCCGGGCGCCAGGCAGGGAGGGCCCCCGGGAGAGTCAGAGGACTCCGATGCGGCCGGCCTGGGGGGAGCGAGGTGTCTCGATGCCCCCACCGCCGTGCCCCAGCCCTGCCTCTGCCTGCCCAGGGGTGGGGGTGGGGGGCAGGGAAGGGGCTGTGAGCCTTCAGTGATGTCCCCAGGTGGCGGCCCGTCTGAGAAGGGGGCTGGCCTGGCAGGGCAGGTGAGGAAGGAGGTCCAGGGCCAGCAGGAAGGCCAAGGAGACAGGGGCCGTGGGTCATCAGCGGTGAAGGGCAGGTGTGGGGATGAGGGCTCCCAGGTCTCAGCCGCCCCACAGCCCAGCCAGGACCTGCCGGGAGTCCAGGCACCTGGTCACTGTAGACAGGGGTCAGAGGCCCTGGCTGCCCGGATCTGGGCAGGCAGGTCCGTCCTGTGACAGGCTCGGTCAGCGTCCAGCCCCAGGCAGGGAAATCAGGCCGGGCCGGCCCGCCACCTCTCCTGAGTGTGCGTGGACCGTGACACCCGCGGCCAGGGGTGGGGCCACATTCAAACAGCCCCACGGGCAGCCAGGTGCTGAGGAATCAGCCGTCCTGGCCCCCACGCCCCCAGGGCCGAACCCCAGCCCCCACCCGGCTCCTTCCCCTGCCGCCCTCCCATGCCCCACCCACCCAGGCTCCTTGTCTCCAGGGAGAGCCCTGGGGCCGGACCCTTTCCCTGAACTGAGAGCAGGCCGAGGGGGGGTTGTCCCAGGCCCCCAGTGACGGCAGGTGTACGACAGGCCGTACCCCAAGGAGCGGCGGGAGAACTGACTCGTCCGCACAGATGAGAAAGCAAAGGCCCAGGGGGGTGAAGGTCTCTGCTAAGGTGACCGCCCAGGGCATGGGCAGAACAAGGCCCTGAGGGCCGGGGCTGCCCCCTGAGTGACAGGTCAGGAACCGGAGAAGGAGGGGAGGGGATGGCCCCCACCTCGCAGGGTCCCAGGCTTCTAAAGGGCACGCATGGCTGGCACTGGTAGGAAGGCCCCTGAGCACAGCCATTTCCCAGAGTGTGCAGGAGGCCCTGGAGTGGGGACCCCTGGAGGCCTTCCTGGAGGCAGTGGCTGAACAAGAAAACTCGAGGGCAGACCTGGCCTCCGCCGTCAGAGCAGGGGTGGCCTTGGGCAGAAGAGGATCCCGGATGCCGCCGTGCCCCACAGTGTTTCTGCCTTTGAGAAGGCGGCGCTTGGAAAGTCCCTCCGTCTGGGTCCAGGGTCCGGGCCTCGAGCCTCCCCAAAGCCAGGCCCTTCAGTGCCCTCCCAGAGGCCTGGGCCTGCTGACTCCAGCTAGGAAGTCCTTCTGACATCTAACCACAGTGCCCCTGCTGCATTCCCAGTCACTCCAGCAGCAGCCTGGGAAGGATGTAGGCCTGTTTCCCCGCCTGCAGCACGAGTGGGTTCCCCAGGCCCCTGCCAGCCCCGTCCATGTCCCAGAAGCTGAGTCTTCTCCCTCGAGGGTCCCCAAGCTATTGTCACCAGGGGCGATGATGGGTGCTACCTCCAGAATTGCCCCATAAAGATGACAGCCACGTCCACGGCCGGCAGCACCACCCTGCACACACCGACGGACGCTCCTGCGGGTCCCGGGGCGCCGGCTGGGAGCTGGCATCGAGGGATCAGGGCACACCAGACTGCCTACCCCCCACGTCCGGGGATGGGCACGGCAGCCCCTGTGCAGGGGGCGGGGGGCAGCAGAAAGCCAACAGGTGGACAGAAGTGGGATTTGAAGAGGGGACAGGACCGAGTGGGTGACATGCGAGCCTGCGGGATGAGGGGACTGCTGGGAGAAAGGTCGGTGTAGAAAGCTCCAGACAGTGCTCAGAGGAGGCCCGCTGGGGGTGATGCAGAGTGGGGGGCAGACTCAGGCAAGGCCTGTCCTCAGGGGGCTCCCCCAGGGCTGGTGTGTGCAGGGGTGGGGCCGCAGACACGGGGATGAACCTCTCTGAGCCCCCCACCCCCACATCTAAAAGGGAACGGTAGTTCCAACAATTCAGCCCTTGACCCCATCGCCCAGGTCTGCGGGGAGCGTTAGGTGGCACAGAGGACACGGACGGGGTGTCCCCATCACGGGCACAGAGCAGGCACTTGGTCCTGGTACCCACGGCCGCAGCACGAACGCGTCTGCGACCAGAGTATGGCCCCGACCCCAACGCCCCCTCCAGAGACACCAGCAGACAGCCGTTCCCCAGAGGGCCTCTGGACTCAGGGTTGAGCCCAGGGCAGCAGAAGCCAGGCCCCCCAGCGAGCCCAGTGACCTGTCTGTCCCCCTCCACCCCTCCACCCCTCCACCCTGGAGTGTTTCCAGCGTACCTGTGGGGGACAGGGTGAGATTCCCACAACGCAAATTCACCCATCCTTGAAGCAAACCGTTTCACCGCATTGAGTGCAGCGGCCTGCCTACCTCGGTCCACAACTTTGTCATCGCCCCACACGGAAACCCGTGGCCCCACGCAGCCCACGCCCACCCCACCCACCGAGACCCCTCCTGGCCGCCCGGGGCCCAGGCAAGAGCCACCTGACCGGCTGGCACAGGCAGGTGAGGGCACCTGGCGGCCTGTAGGATCCTGGGAGCCAGCTGCCAGCGGCCAAGATAGAATGTCAACCGCGGGGGGGAGGGGACAGGCCTCAGCTCCTCCCACTCCTGCTGGGCCCCTCCCCGCAGGCGGCAGCTCAGGTGGGCTACCCTGGAGAGGAGGCTGTGGCCGCCCCTCCCCAAGCCCGATAGGGCCTCCAGATAGCAGCCCTTCCCCACCCCCGTGGGGCTGCCACCAGGGCCACGTGGCCACACAAATGACCAGCCAGGCTTCCCTGGAGGCCGGGCCTCCCAGGGCCGGGCCTGAGCTTCCTGCCTGAGAGGTAGGCGCGGGTCGCTACGGTGGGGCCGGAGGGAGGGGGAGAGGCCAGGGAAGGCCTGGGTGGGAGAGGGGGAGGTGCCCGGTGCCCCAGGTGGCCGGCAAGCAGCTGGAGAACTGGCATCCGAGGCCGGCGAGCGGGCTCGCGGCGGAGAACGGCCCCGCAGCAAAGCTGGCACCCCGACAGTCCGGCAGGTTCCGGGGAGCCGGTGGGTGCCGGGCCGAACTCCCCATCGGCTGCCGCGGGCAGTGCTGTCCGACTCCACCCCGGGCAGCCAGGGCAACGGGGGCTCCCCCACTTTCCCAGACACCTCCGGCCCCTAACGTGTGGGGTCCCCGCAAACCCGAGCGGTGGAGGCGGGCACCACCCCAGGGAAGGAGGGCGTCCCGGGCCCAGGCCTTGGAGCCCAGTTCCTGTGCACGGGGCTGCCCAGGGCTGCCCGGGGTCAGGGGAGCGGGCCAGCCGGTCAGACTCCGGCTCCGCCTGCAGCGACGGCTGCCCCCTCCCTGCCCCCGCTCCCTCCTCCCCGGGCCGCTCCGGGGCTGCTCCCAGCCGCCTGGGCGCACCTTCGCCCCGCATCCTCTCTCACCTCTGCAGATGACTAACGCCTCGGGGCTCCTGGGAACATGGCCACGGCCCAGCCCCGGGCCGGCTGTGCCCACCGTGCCCGCCGGGCCGCAGATGGACCGCATGGGGAACAGCTCCCAGGGCGCCTCCCGGCTCTTCCTCACCACCGCGCTGGCCCGCGGCATCTCGGGGGTCTTTGTGTGGACCGCCCTGGTGCTCACCTGCCACCAGGTAAACCCTCCCCTCTGCGTCTCCGGGTCCCCGCTCTCCGTGGGACGTGGTCCTGGCTGGCCCTGCTGGCATCTGGGACCTCCAGCCACGAGCTTGGGGCAGACATCAGGCGGCAGCAGGCCAGGGCACAGGGGCAGGGGAGGGGGCCTTGTCCAGAACGTGGCGTGTGGGAGCCAGGGATGGGAGGTCTGTGCCAGGGACAGAGCTGGGCTGGGAGGACAGGGCGTCGGGGGGCCGCCCCCTCAGATTCAGGGAAGCAGAGGAGCCCCCGGCCCCAGGCGGTGACAACGCCCGGCAGACGGGGCAGCCCCCCAGAGGGGTGATGGCCGCGCCCAGCAGCGAGGAAGAACGGGAGCGGGCAGCAGGTCTTGGGTCTGAGTGCAGGGGCCGGGCAGGGGAGAACGGACATTCGGGGAGGCACCGGGGCGACAGCGAGGTGGGAGGCCAGGGAGCCGGCCGTCTGGGCAGAGGGCACTCAGGACGCAGAGGCCTCCAAGGCACGGAAGGGTGAGAGACTCCCATCTCGATGAGAGCTGCCTGCCGTGTGGCCTCAAATCACAATACATGGCAGACACAAGGGTGTGATGGGGGCCAGCGGAGCACAGTGCAGCTGAGAACGGCAGGGGCCATCAGGGAGGACAGCCTGGAGGAGGCAGTGTTTGCACCGCCCCTGGACAGGTAGACCGCACAGGCGGGTGGTGCCTACTCCTCAGTGGAGGAACGGTGTTGGGTCTTGGGGAGGCTGTGATTTATAGAGCAGAGAGCAGCAGAGTCCTGGGTCCGGGTGTCCGGGTCTCGGCTTCCCCGTCTGTGTAACCCTAACCTTCTGCAGCGCTGGCGACTGTGTGTGTGTGTGTGTGTGTGTGTGTGTGCGCGCGCGCGCGCTTCCTGGGTCCCCACCGCCTAGACAGGGCAGTCAGGGACCCCCCCCTCCCCACCATGGAACGCAGCTCCCGTCCCCGCCCACACTGCCAGGCCCCTGTAGCTCAAGGGCAGCTAGACTCTGTCCTTCCAGAGCCCAGAAGGACAGAGGGAGACTCAGCCTCTCGCTTTAAAGACGGGAAGGCAAGGCCGGAGAACACAGGGAGTACTTGCCAAGGCCACCCAGCCGGGCAGCGCCAGCACCGGGCAGAATCCACGTCTCCTACTGGCTGGTCATGCGGGCCCCTCCCACTGCACCAGCTGGGACTGAGGGACTGATAAGGAGCCTGTCCCCCGCCCCCGCCACTCCCTGCGGGTCCGCATGGGGCTCCACACACAGCCTCCCCGTCAACTGCCCTCCCTCCGCCTGGCACTGAACGGCACCTCCTCCGGGAAGCCTTCCAGAGGTGCTGTGGGACCACAGCCAGCCCTGTATACCCAGCTCCCTGGTGCATCTTCCTCGTGAAGACCCTGTCACTGGTTTTTCACGTCCTCACAGACGACGTGGAAAATCAGGAAAGGTTTATCGATAATCAGTGGTCACCTGTATCTTCCTACTGTCGCGGAAAGACAGGGATCTTTCCTTTTGGGTCTGCCCTGCGTTTCCAAGGCGTGCGGGGCCGTCCTTGGTTTGTCTTCTGGTGTTTACTCGGCACCTCCTGGAGCACGTCCCCGCGTGGGCATCTCAGGACGCCCCCTCCGCTGGCTGTGTGGGGCTCCTCTGGGCAGCCTGGCCCCTCGGCCGCGTATCCGCTCCGAGGGACAAATCCCGGAAACGGGTCAGGGCACCGGCCCCGGCGACGGCCCGCCACACTGAAATGCCAAACTGCCCGCCCAGGGGCCACGGACGGCCCCTCCCCCAGGGAAATTCTCCTTGGACGAGTGAACACACGAGTGCGTGCGTGCGTGCGCGTGTCCGCTAAGAAGGGGCTGCCGCCCCCCGGCGAAGTCCTAGCTGCTGCCTCCCACCGCCCCTCTGGCCCGTCGCGCCCACGCCTCCCTGGCTCTGTCCGCCCAGATCTACCTGCACCTGCGCTCCTACACGGTCCCCAACGAGCAGCGCTACATCATTCGCCTGCTCTTCATCGTGCCCATCTACGCCTTCGACTCCTGGCTCAGCCTCCTCCTCCTGGGGGGCCACCAGCACTACGTCTACTTCGCCTCGGTGCGTGACTGCTATGAAGGTGAGCGCCCCCTGGCTCCGGGGAGGGCCTGAGGGACGCACAGCCGGCTCCGGAACCCCACCCTCCGGGGCCGGGAACCCCACCCTAGGGGGCGGGGAACGGCTTGGTCCAGCCCGGTCCAGCCCTGCGGGAACCGGCCCGCCTGACGCCTGACCCCTGACCGTCAGGATTCGGGATGCGAGGGCGGGGTCCAGGCCCTGGGTGGGGCATCGTTGCCTCAGTGACCGCTGAGGGCTCCGCCCGCCCCGGGGTCACCGGGGATGGCGTGGGCTCCCAAAGCTGAGTGAGGGTCCTGGGCGTGGGCACACAGGGGGTCAGAAAGCCCTCCTGCAGCCGGGCGTCCCTGGGGAGCCCAGGCTCACTGCCGCCCGCCCTGCCCTGCCCCTTTGCAGCCTTTGTCATTTACAGCTTCTTGAGCCTCTGTTTCCAGTACCTGGGCGGCGAGAGCGCCATCATGGCCGAGATTAGGGGGAAGCCCATCCGGTAAGCCTCTCGCCCCGGAGCCCACTGGGGTCCCTCCCTCCACGCCCAGGGCAGCAGGGCGGGTCTGGGGACGCGTCCCCCCGGAGCCCTGCTTCAGGGACTGGTCACCCCAGGTCAAGCTGCATCTACGGCACCTGCTGCCTCCAGGGCATGTCCTACTCCATCGGCTTCCTTCGCTTCTGCAAGCAGGTGAGTGGGGGTCTTGCCTGCCTCTGCCCTCCCCTCCCAGCCACCGCCCTGAGCGCCCCCACGCTCCCCTCCCCCACCCAGGCCACACTGCAGTTCTGCATCGTGAAGCCCATCATGGCCGTGGTCACCATCGTCCTGCAGGCGTTCGGCAAATACCACGATGGGGACTTCAAGTAAGGCCAGGCCGATGTGCCTGCGGGGAGGGGGCGGGCCCGGCCTGGTGGGGGCACCGTGCTGGGCGGAGGCAGGCAGGGCCTGGGGGAGGGCTCAGCCCAGGGCCAAGTCCCCATATGAACGGACAGGCCTCGCCCTCCTCTCGGGAACCCGCCAGGGCAAGGCCGTGGCAGGCAGACCCACGTGTGCCAAGGACCCCAGGACCTCGCAGCCTGCAGCTGGCCCACCCGGGGGAGAACGAGGCGGGGGGGTTAAGGCACTCAGGCACGGGGCGCCGCCGGGGACCTCCCTGGTACCAGGAGCCCTGTGCCAGGTCCACGCCCACGCCAGCCTGTGCACACGCACAGGCACACACAGACCCAGCTCGCACGCACGTGTCCACACCCACGCCAGCCCATGCACACGCACGGACCCAGCTCACATGCTTATGCGCACACAACGCTGACACGTGCACGTGAACACACACCCACAGGTCACACCAACATGCACACGCATGTTCACATACACCTGCCCGTGGGTCCACGAGGTAGAGGCCCGCTCCCGCAGGCCGTGCCCAGGTGGACAGAGGAAGAGGGACACAGGGTTTCACAGGGAGAAAGGCTACCTCCTCACCGCTGTGGTGGGGCACCCCAGCTCCCTCACTGTTGCTCTTGGGTACCGTCTGCCTGCCACGCAGGGAAGGTCCAGGTCTGGGTCACTGTCGGTGCCCAGGCTGGAGCGCACGGGCCAGTGATTCGGCCGAGACAGTGGGGAGGGCACGGGCAGGGTCCTGCCCTGACCCCCGACCCCTGCTCTGGCCCCAGCATCCACAGCGGCTACCTCTACATCACCCTGGTCTACAACGTCTCTGTCAGCCTGGCCCTCTACGCCCTGTTCCTTTTCTACTTGGCCACCAGGGAGCTCCTGCAGCCCTTCGAGCCTGTCCTCAAGTTCTTCACCATCAAGGCCGTCATCTTCCTCTCTTTCTGGCAGGGTGGGTGGGCTGCTGGGGCAGGGGCTGGAGCCCAGAGCCTGTCCCAACCCCATCTCCGCCCCTGTTCCCCGGGTGCCCTTAGGCTTGGCCTCAGTCTCTCTGGTTGTAGCACAGGTCAGTACTACCGCTCCCTCAGCCAGAAGCCACACAGCCCCTGGCGCAGGGGAAATATCGAGTCCCTGTCCAGTCGGTCTGGCCTGTAGTGGATGGAACGGACAGGCAGAGGCCCTGGGCCAGGTTGGGGACACCCCCAGACCCCACCCTGCAGAGGCGGGGGTGGGGGGTAAGTGTCAGGCGGGCCCCAGCTCTGGGACCAGGGAGGTCAGGGCAGACGCTTGGGGAGCGCCCGGATGGCCACCGTGCTGAGAACTTGGCTTTGGAGGCACCCCTCCCCGTGAATGTCAGCCACCCCAACCCCCACCGTGGGACAGGACCACACGGATGGGACGGCCCAGGGCCTGACCCTCGTCCCCTCTGCAGATCCCGCTGAGCTCACAAGGCCCGTGTAGGGCGGGTGCCTGAGCGGCTGTCACCACCCCCCAGGGATGCTGCTGGCCATCCTGGAGAAGTGTGGGGTCATCCCTGAGGCCCAGGTCATCGACGGGAGCAAGGTAGGGGCCGGCACGCTGGCCGCAGGCTACCAGAACTTCATCATCTGCATCGAGATGCTGTTTGCCTCCATCGCCCTGCGCTATGCCTTTACCGTCCAGGTCTACGCGGAGAAGGAGAGCTCGCCAGGTACGCGGGCCCCACGGGGGGTGGGGGTGTGCCGAGGGCCTGCGGACGGGCCCAGACAGCCCCGCCTGCCTCTGGCCGCACCACATCTCTGTCCCGCCCTCCTGCACGGGCCCAGGGGACGTCAGCCACACGGACAGGGAGACAGCCCCATCAGAGGCTAGACGGGTGCGGCGTCTGCTTCTGGCCCAGGGGCAGCGAGGTGCACGGCTCCGAGCTCGGGGTGAAATGGCTGGACTGGACGTCTGGGCCCCTGGGCCCCGGGCATCCCTAGCGAACGACGCTCAGCGGCAGAGATGGCCTGCGGCCGCTCCAGCAGCCTAAAGTGACAAGTGTGAAGGGCTCACTGTAGGCCGGAGAGAAGACAGGAGCCAGCCTGGGCGGCTTCCCCCTGTGGCCCCTGGGGAGTCCCAGCTGGGACAGCCCCAGGGTAGAGGAGCCAGGCTGGGATTCAGAGGTCCTGAAGTGCCCCCTACTGGCCGAGCCCGGGGCCTGGGGATGCCAGACCCCAGCCCTGGGCAGCCCCGAGGCCGGTGGGGGCAGGTCCGTGTCCCCAGGGCCCAGGCCCCCGATGGGGGGTGGCGGCGGCGGCGGGGGTGGGGTGGGGGTGGGGGGGAACAGGTCCAGGGTGCCCTGGCCCCACCCACGTGCTGTCTGCCCCCAGCCCCCGAGGCACCCATGCACAGCATCTCCAGCGGCCTCAAGGAGACCATGAGCCCACAGGACATCGTGCAGGACGCCGTCCACAACTTCTCACCCGCCTATCAGCACTACACCCAGCAGGCCACTCACGAGGCCCCGAGCCCTGGTGCCCACCCCAGTGTGGCCGGAGGCTCTGGCGGCCTCAGGAAGAGTCGCAACGTGGAGAAGAGAATGCTGATCCCCGCAGAGGACCTGTAGGAGGGCCACGGGGGTCCCCGGCCGCCTGCCTGGACCAGGCTGCCCAGGCCTCTGGGAAAGCACAGGGCCCCTCACCCTCTTGCCAAAGGTGAAGCCCCTCCTGGGAGCCCTGGTGCCAGGCCGGTGGCACCACTTCCCAGCCTTCCTCCCGCCAGCAGGCCCGTGGCCCCAGGAGAGGGCGCCTGAGTTTATCTGGCGAACCGGGAACCCACCGGGCTCACCTGGCCGTCATGGGGCTGTCGTGAGGCAGGCACCGGTAGGGCAGGGGCGGATGGACGGACCTCGCTCTGGGCCCTGGGAGAGCGAGGCAGCCCCGGCCTGAGGACACCGGAGCTGTAGGCGCTACGGGCCGGTGGGGGCAGGGGACTGGGCTGGGCAGAGCTGCTTTGCACCCCCTCCAGCCCTGGGGACTCCTGAAAAGCCCCCACCCGGGGAAGGCGTGCCTGATGAGGCTCTGGGAGGTGCCCGGGGCCACCTGCACAGAACCTTCACCCTGGGCAGCCTGCGAAGCGTGTGGGGCTCCTGGGGGCATCACCTATTTATACATAAACAGCCTGCGTTTTCTAGTGACTCCCGTGGCCTCTGTTCCTGCAGGGTCGGCGCCCGGTGGGTGGTCACGGGAGCCCCACTGTGCTAAGTCTGGGTGTCGGGGCAAGTGTCCCGGGCGATGCTCAGAGCAGGGCAAAGAGTTCACGCGTGGACGGAGCGCCCTGCCCTGTGGCCCCGAGAGACCCAGGGTCGTGCTCACCTTCCTCCATAAGATGGGCCTCCTGCCAGCCCGCCCTCGGTGGGTGGATGAAGGCCACGGATGCAAGCCCGGAGAGGGCACGGGGCACAGATGGGTCACACCTGGAGCCTGCCTTCCCTCGTCCTTCTCTCTTCCTGTGCGCCAGGCCAGCACCCCGAAAGACACAGGCCCTGCCATCCAGAAGCTGTGACATGCCCGAGCGGCCTGGGAAACATGAAAGAGGGGCCAGAAGCAGCCAGTGGGGTGGGGAGGCCTCCGGGAAGGCCTGTGTCTGGGAGGGGGCGTGGGCAGGGGCCCGCGGGTGTGGGGAGCCAGGGCCGCAGGCCGGGCAAGAGCGGCCTGGTGGGCGCCACCCAGTGACAACCTCCCAACCCATCACTGGGGAAAGAGGGCAAGGCACTGAGGGTCCAGAGACCCCGCAAGGCAGGAGTCAACTACCAGCGTGGGCTCACCCCGCGGCCTCCTTGCTCCCTAGGCCTGGAGACACGGGACTCAAGGCCACAGCCTCTCCAAGGGCCCGGATGGGCTGCCCAACAAGATAGGCCAGGCTGCCTCCCCGAGCGAGGCCCCCACCTGCCTTATCATGCCCTCTGCAGTTGGCGGACCAGAGTCCGCCCAGCTCGGGCCCCACAGGCTGCAGTCAGCAGGGTTGGGGACAGGCGTGGCGCCTCCTGCAGAGACCTGTGGACCACGGCTGGAGGCTGTCCGGAGGAGGCGAGACACGGTGCCAGCCCCACCATGAGCGAAGGAGGGGGCTGCCCTAGAGGCCCGTGCCCGGGAAGGGCCACCCCTTTAGGGCCCAAGGTGCCTAAGGCTATGTGCACAGGGTGAGTGGGCCAAGACCCCCTTCAAAAGACCAGACGCACTGCGGGCTCCCGGCTGCAGGGGCGCCCTCAGGCCAGGCCTGTGCGCTGGGGGCAGCCTGGTCAGCCTGGCACTTTGGGGTGAGGGGAGTCCACGTTTACTGGGCACCCACTGTAGGACCCGGCCTACGCTTAGTCCTCACGACAGCCGCAGGGAAGGTGACGAAGGCCCAGAGAGGTTAAGCCACTTGCCTGAGGTCACAGAGCCGGCAGGAGGCAGACCAGCCTCCCAAAGGCCAGCTCTCCCACCTGTCCAGCCCCTACAGACACCTCTGCCCAGACCAGACCCCGCTTCTCCTGGACACCCACAGGAGAGCAGAGCCTCAAGGTCAAAGCCGCTGCACCCCCCTCACCGGCCTCGTCCGCCAGCGGGGAGCTTGGGTGCTCTGGAGGAGGAGCGGAAGGAGGCACGTCTCACCACCTAGGACAGCAGGGCCGGCTTCCGGTTCTGGGCCCCACTGCACAGGGCCAGGAGCGGCCGGCTTATCTAACTTATCCTGGCCTCCGTGCTCTCATGTGGGAAATGGCCCCAACAATCCAACACCAAGGAGGCAGCCTGGAGAGGTGGGTGGCCAGGGCGGGGCAGAGGGGTACCTCTTACTTCCCAGGGGCCCGGAACAGGGCTGGGGTCCGTGCCTCCCCGGCTCATACCCACAAGCTTGCTGCCAGCTGCGGTCACCTGGCCGCCCCAGGGCTCTCGCAGGAGGCACAGGCCGGGCTTCGGGGGCGTCTGGCTTAGCCGTGGGCCACGGTGACCCCATCGTGCTGGCACACTCGGCCCCCTGCCGAGTTCACAGAAGGGAGCGCTCGGCTAGAAAGGGGAGGGAACGGGCCCTCCGTCACTCAGAGGTTAGAGCCAAGGTGCTGGCGCTGAAGCACCTTGCCCACAAGCGACCGCAGGAGCCACCCTGTCAGCTCAGGCAGAGGTGTGGCGGGAGGGCTGGCGGGGCTTAGAGACCCTAAGGCCGCACCCACCAGCCCGCCCTCCTTCCGCGGCTAAGGCTGAGCTCGGACACGTCTACCCCTTGGAGGAACAGTGGGAAGGGAAGACCGGTGAGGAGGGGACAGCGTCCCCAGAGGATGGGCCCTCCACTCCACTTCCTTTAGGCTACCGGGCAGGGCCCCTCGCTGCTCACCCCGGGGCAGGACGTCTCTCTCCCCACCTCCCGTAAGACCTGGCCTGAGACGGGGGCACAGGCCGCCGGGGGGGTGGGAGGGAGCAGCCCCAGCTGGAGAGGGAGGGCTGCCCAAGGGCTGGGGGGCTCCTGGTCTCGGCGGATGGGACCCTCAGGAATGGTGCCCACCATTCAGAAGGCCAGCTGGCCGGCTCTGCCAGCCTGACCCCCTGCACGCACCGTGGCTGACCGGACGGACCCCGGAGCCAAGGAGACCCATCGCAGGGGAGGGCGGCCGGGTCGGGGGCTGGGATGTGGGGGGGTGCAGCGGCCCAGCACATTCACGGCCCCTGCACTCGAGGACTTGACCCAAAGCACCAATCACAAGACCAGGCGGGTCTGAAACCAGAAAACTCTTTATTGCAAAGGTACAAAAGCGTCACAGCAGAGATGTACAGCAATAAATTAGGTGGTGGCCGTGAGGGGACAGGGCAGGCGCAGGGCACATGTCATACGGGCAAGGACCACGACGTGGGGTCTCTTCTCAATAATTTATACCATGATAAAAGCAGCACAAAAATAAATATTGAAATGGAACAGCTGAGTGACCAAGGCCAGGAAATGGGAGGCCTTGCCCCCTGGGAGGACAGAGTCTGCCTCCCTTGGGAAGGACCCCGAGTCTGAAGCACAAGAATCAGGAAAACAAACCCAAGGGACAGAGATCCTTGCCTTTTAAATAAGACAAATCCATATATTAAAACGGGGACAATGAAATCTCAACGAGCTGAAAGCAGAGGCATGAGAGAATGCTCCGGTCTTCCCTCCCTGGCCCCTGGTCCCCAGGAGCAGGCAGGCATGGCGAGGTGCACCGGGCGGTGACAGAAGCCCCCTCTGGGCAGGGGCGGGGGGGGGGCACGCAGGGCGCCAGCACTCCCGAGGGCAGCAGGCAGCGGCGACAGCCCCCGGCCCCCACCCCCCCTACTCCAACCGCAGCTCTGCTCGATTAGGGATTTACAGTAAAAACAGGAAAAGTTACGAAAAATCTGTACGATAAAATGTGTATATAATTTTATATATATATATACTTTTCTCTCTTTTAAATATTTCCCCGTGGTCCTTATTGATATCCAATGTGGATTACCTACCATGGCTATGGTATCGACAGCTTTTTTTTTTTTT